ACACACACACACACACAACCTAATTAGGATCTGATGACAGACGGGTTGAAGTCAGCAGAAGCAGGTTTTATTAAAGTCCAGCTGAACACAACCTCAGAGACTGTCCTCTGTCAGTTTAATGTGTTTATTACAATGTGTTCTTCCTGTTTGTTCAGGTGATCGTCGCCCTGCTGAGCAAGTTCACGGTCGCTGACAACCCGGCGAAATACGCCCTGTACAAGCGCTACCGCAGGGAGGAGCAGGGTAAGACTGGACTCACATGGTGTCGACCATCTGTGTATTTGTGAATGCCTCGCCCTCATGGAGCTGGGAGCTGGATGCCACAGGGCTCTCCCCACTATCAACAGCTCACTTATAGAAATACTCACTCTCTATGAATCAGCAGCTGTTACGGCTCGTAGGGTGTCACATATTATCTGCTCGTCTATTCAGCGTCTCCAAGAAAGAAAAGGAAGAGTTTATGAGCCATAAAACAAGAAAACGAGTCTGAATTTATTGAATTTGTTTAGTTTTAAGTCAGTCAGACTTCGACAGAGATGTTGGTGCGTGTTGAGCCGCCGTATAAAAGTGTGTAGACTTCATATATAAACCTTCAGGTCATTAAAAACAAGACGTGCTGCCGCTCTTTCATCAGAAATGTGAAGTGTTGGTTGAACTGTGGTGTAGAAATGTAGAAATGTCTGACAGGATGAAACAAAGTGACTCCAGTTGAGCTCAGAAATAAAACAAAGTATTATATTAAAGACATTTATATTATTGTAGAGTTTAATTACCAAATATTAATAATTGATAATAAGTTTTATAATGTAATAATCGGTGTAAAATCAGATAGTTTTGGCTCTTTAAGTCCTCCGTTGTTGTTCTCTGTCTGATACTTTGTTGACTCCAGTTCAGTCGAACATCAAGGATCTGTTTCTGTAAATGATTGTGGTTGTTAATGTGCCGCGCCCGTCCTTTCATCCTCTCACACACACACACACACACACACCGCACTGACTGACCTAATGTGTGTGTGCTCTGCAGTGTATGTGTGCAAGCTGGCGGATGGCGAGCAGCCGTTGTTTCTCCGTCTGGTGGCGGGGCCCGACACCGACACGCTCAGCTTCGTACTGAGGGAACAGCAGACCGGAGAAGTCATGGTAACTCGTCACCTCCGTGCCTCCATATCTCTGTTTGTCATTGTTAAATATTGATTCCTTCTTCATCTTCATCCTCTTCATCCTTCACTACCTCCACAAGTTCTCTCTCATTCTTCCTTCTTCTCTTTCTCCTTTTTCTTGCTTCCTTATTTTACCAATTAAATGATGATTAATTAAATGCTGTTTTACTATTTCCATGACACTTGTGGTCCTCCATATATTAGGTCCTTCCACACCAACAACAGAACCAATCGAATCCGTTCTTCTTCATCCAGAACAAACAAAAATGAAACTAAAAGTAAATAAAGTGTTTGTGTTTTCAGTGGGACGCGTTCTCCATCCCCGAGCTGCGTAACTTCCTGCGGATCCTCGACAAGGAGGAGGACGAGCAGCGGGAGGCGGTGATCCGCCGCTACGAGGCGTACCGCCAGAGACTGCAGGAGGCGCTGAGGGAGGTCCGAGGGCCTTCTTAAGAGGAGTCAGCTCCAGGAAACAGGAACTGCTGCCCCCTAGAGGGCCGGAGGAGTCTTTAAAGCTCCTCGGAGGAGACGAATAGTGTAAATTGTGATGGAGAGAAAAGGAGGAGAGGATCCACCGACCGAAGGACTGAAAGAGGGATGATATAAAGACGAAGGACGAGAGATTAAAGGGACGAACGGACAAAAGTCAGATGGATTAAAGACTTCGAACTGCAACCAAAGATTCATAATTGTGCCATATTCATCCTCTCATCATCCTCTCATCCTCTCATCGGTCCTGCTGTCACATAATTTATGCAGTTCCTTTTTGTTTCCCCCCTTTTTTTTTTATCGTTTAAACTTGTGAAAAGACTTGAGGCCATATGTTTTATTTAATTTGTTTTAAAGGTTTGTACATATTTTTTTTTTCTTAATTTATATGGGTGAAGCTTTTTAATCTTTTTTTTATTATTTTGTTTTCTTGAAGCAAAAAAAGGTCTTATTTTTATTTTATTCTACGGAGGCGGAGCAGCAGCAGGTTGTTGACACAGAGAATAATTTAATACACAGCGAGAAGTTAGAGAGACGTCCTCATCGTCAGGTTTTGATTGAATTACCCTGAAAGTTGATGAATATTTCTGTAGAGAGAAAGTAGTCCCAGTATGGAGTCTCAAGTGTGCCAAAGAAACAATTTAAGATAATTTTTTGTGTGTTTTTTGTTTTGTTTTTAGTGCTTTTAACAAAACACTAAATAACAAACTGTAAAATAACAGAACAGGTCACATGGATTTGTTAAATTTACACTATTTACATTACATTTTATTAAATATAATTGGCAATTTAAAAAAAAAATCATTAAAGTAAATAAGCAGCACAATTTGTTGAATCGTAACTCCTGTTTCCATTATTTTCCTGCTTTTATCTTCTTTTATTTATGGAAATATAGAAATTTAAAAACAAGTTTAAAGAGTTTATATTTACTTATATTTGTTTTTTATGCATAATTATAATATTAATTGAATGAATCTTTTTTTTTAATGTTTTATTATCAGTATTGGCACACTTTAGACTCCATAGAGTTGTCCTGAAGCTGAATGTTGTCGACGAGGCTGCAGAGAAATAAAAAGGTGAAGTTCAGGTTTAATGTGACAGAAAACAAACGGACTGAAACAATAAAGTCGAACAGAAACGTCTGAACGCAGGAAGACGTTCGGTTGTTTGTTCTGACGAGTGAAGACGAGTGAAGACGATAACGACGATCGGTTGGATTTAAAGTGTTTGTTTGCGGGTGTAGTTTGGATAGATCCCTGACCTTTGACCCCCACAGTGTGGTCAGAGGAGGGAAGAGTCGAGTGGTTTCTGCAAGTTGAGAGAGCCGTTTAGAGGAAGTAGAAACATTAGACGGAGGACGGACGAAGTTTTGTGTTTGAGAAGCAGTTTGACCTCGAGGACGACGGCGAGATTAACGGCTGGTTTTTATTAAAGCTCCCGAAACCTCCGAGAGAAAAGGAGGCCTGGGAGCGCCGATAGCCGGAGGGAACGGGGGGGGGGGGGGGGGTGCGTTCATAAATGTTTTTGTGCTCTTATCTGGAGCTGAAACGTGCAGCCTCGACCTCCTCGTCAACCCGGGTTCAGTTGTGTGGTGGATTAAAAGAAAGACAGGAAGTGAGAGATGGAAATACAGGAAATGAGTGTTAGTAAGTGTAAGAGAAGGTTTCATTAAAGGCTGTTTGTTATAACGGACGTAAACATTATGCCTTAAATATATAATATATATATGCAATGTGATGGCTTAGAGACCCAAAGAGGCTCGTTTTCAGCGTAGTTTAGTAGAAACATGCAGCCGATGTTCAGTGAAGACAATCGCAAACAAAACTATAGATCAGTTCAAATCAATCACATTACAAAGTAAAAGGCTTCATTGTTTGAGCTGCAGGTACTGATTGAAGTCAACGTTGTACAATACCGCCATCTAGTGGACAGATACCGCAACTGCTCTCATTTCTGTGTCAGAATTATCTTTAAGAAGATTTAATTGTTTTGTTATAAACCAAAGATATTTTTGTGGTGTTGCCTGGAGCAAAGAAATATATTAGAGGCCTCTTCCCATCGGAGGGAAAAACATATATAGTTCAGAGTTTTATTTAAAGGGGTTTTAACCCTCGATTATTCTACTATCAAACACTGGGTTAAATCTACGGAGGCAAAAAGAGGCCGTAAGGATTTGAATCTTGCAAGCGACTGAGTATCTAATTGTGATATTTAAAGGGGCACTTCAACAATTTTATTGAAATATTATTATTTTGATTAAAAAAACAAACCTGATGGTCTTGAGGCTTAACAGAAAGTGGTGTTGCATTATGGGAAATGTAGTATCCAGTACTCTGGACTAAAATTCAGTTCAATATTTGACTCCAGAAACCATCTTTTTTACTTTTTTTGTGGTTTTAATTCCTGTCTTTGACATTCTCAGTGAGACAGAAAAATTAAAGTACCATAAAAATAATAAAAAAAAAACTGCTCAAATTTAATTGAATCGTCTTTATTTAAAAAAATTAATGTAACGAAGTTTCTCAAACTGTGGCATCAAAATTCAAGATGGTGAAATTAAACATTTGTGCTGCCAATAAAATGCCCAAAAATATCAAACAACATAAATGGGGTATTCAGTCACTTACTTTAACTATTTTGGCCTGTTTTTGCTTCCGTATAATATAATTTAAAACGATACGAACGTCTGCATGAAAACAGTTAATGAATCTTAAAGCCATGTTGTTGTTTGTGTATCTGATAAACAACTTTAACTGTTAAAGTTAACTGAGACTCGTCGTATCAATGAATTTATTTTTTTGGTCACTTTAACTTTGAATTCAGGGAAAACGGGTTTTTGATTTTTCTTTTTTTCCTCCTGTTTAATCTTCAAACTACCACCATCGCACTCCGTACTTCATCTTAACGTCTAATACACTATAATCTTATTTTGAAAGATCTTGTTAAGCGACAGTACAGTGTGACAGATTATTTTAAGCTAATTTTTTTGTTATATTTTTTGTCTTTAACGAGCTTCCGTATAGTTTTTTGCTCCGAGTTAGCTGTAGACTGTGAAACGTTTGGTTGAATCTCTTCGTGTAAATATGAGCTCACTGAACGCACTGCTGGACATTAAAGCTTGCGTTACCGTAGAAACGCAGCCGGTCAGACGACAATCAGAAAATAATTTAAAACTATTTTTATTATTTTTCACGTTGTCAGATCGGCTTGTTAAAATATAAATTAGGCTTCTTGATCAATTAATCTGTACTGATTATGGGCCAGTGGATGAATGAAGAGTTGATATATGACAGTTTGTATTATTGTTTTTAAAGCTGTTCAAACTGGAGACTTTCAAAATAAGGTCCATTCTTGACTTTATTTTGAAATTTTTCATTCATGGAAAAATGGCAAGATTCAGTTTCACATCAGGTATTCTCCAACTGTCTTGTTGCACCATATAATGTATGTTTCTCTTCATACGGAGGTCCTGTGTTGACCAATAAACTCACACTGCTGATGAAGGCTGTAAAATGTGACAGAAAGTTTTGGAAAAAACAAAGGAAGTGGACTTTTATTTTGCAGAAGAGATATCGGTCGACTGCGTGTGTATTTTATAGCACTTGTTAACATCAAAAAGCGGCGACCCCTAGTGGGGTCACAACCCTCAGGTTGGAAACCCAATTTTATGGTCCAATGATTGTAGTTTCCTGATTTTTAATTAATTAATTAAAACAAAAAAACATTCAATTTTCACTTTATCCTGAAATTTCTGTGTAAAAAAAAAAAAGCCTAAAATTATCCCAACATGCATTGCAATTTCTTTAAAAAAAAACAATTATTCGATTAATCAATAAGTTGATCAGTTCACTTTAAGGTTATCTGAACTGAAACGATCAGAAACAGTTTTAATAATTCAAAATAAATAAACAGAATTTCTTGTTTTTTGTTGTTAACCCATCAAAGGTCAGATTGTATGGAGTCCCAAGGGTGCCAAAAAGATATTATAGATCAATTAAAGTTAATTTCACCATAATGAGTTTGTATGGTGCAAAAACACAGTTGGATTTATTGATTTAAGAATATTTATTTGTTTTGATTTTTAAACATTATGGTGGCTTCTAAACGCCGTCAGCAGCGATTTCTGCTGTATCAGAGCAGATGTTGAGAAAACTCCTGAAAGCTCCAGAACAGCCACTAAATGGACCTTGTGATGTTATTTTCGGCCTAAATTCAGTTTTGTGTTTCGTGTCTCCAGTTTGAGTCTGTTAATGTCAAAGATCTGTCTCTGTTGCTCTTTACTGATTTTAAAGCGATTCTGTTTTTGGAGAACCAGATTTATCTCACGAGTCTGAGCTCAGATAAAGTTCTGCTCTGTTCTTCAACACTTGATGCAAAAAAAACAAAAAACAAGCAAAAGGTCAGAAGTTTTAATTTCAGAGCCGAGCTGCAAAATCCCCCAAAAATTACTGTTGAGTGAAAAATCTTAATTTCAACATTTAATCTGAAGATCAGTAAATTGTATTTGAGTGAGAATTCGTTGGATTAATTTGAGCTCGGCTGTGAAAGTTTGGGCCTCATCGGTGCCTTTGTGGAGTTTCATCAGTTTATTTCTGTGTTTTCTCTTTGAATCAAATGTGGCCTTTCCTCACAAACGGCTGCGTCTATTAAAGCTGAAATTAAAACAATAAAAGCGTGTCAGAGTGTTATTTTGCCAAGATTGTTTAGTTTTCTTTTTACAGAATCTTTTTTTTTTTTCAGATTTCAGTCTTTTCAAACAGGTGAGATTTTTAAATAAATATATTGACTTTTTAATTTTGAATGAGTTCAGTTTTGTTTTGTTTTTTTATAGAGGACCACAAGTGTCAAAGAAATAGTATTGAAAAGATTTAATTAATGTAATAAAAGTACAATAAAAATAGTTATTAATACATTTGTTTACAAACTTAATCTATAAATAAACTAAATTACAAAGTAAGTCACAATTTTTTGTTTTTGTTTTGATTTAATTAGTGAAGAAACTTAAACACTCTGAGGTTCATTTACTGTAAATGTGATTATTTAACAACTTTTTCACTGCTTTTTACGGAGGCCCTGAAGCGACAAGAGGGAGGACAAAAAATTGGTGGGGGAAAAAATCCTAGAAAATTACTTTTCTTCCTCCCTCGTGTTCCTTCAGGGCCTCCGTAGTTTGACAAGAGAGTCTGTTAATTTATTAACAGAAAGAAAAACATATCTTATTGTGATGATAAAGTTGCTCGTTTGTGAGAATTTGCTACTTTTCTTTGTTTTATATTGAAACTACAGCTAGTAGCCAGTTAGCTTAGC